ATAGATAGACATAGATAGGCATAGATAGACATAGATAGACATAGATAGATAGATAAATAATGATAAATAATGAAAAATCATGATAAATCATGATAAATAATGATAAATCATGATAGATAGATAGATAGATAGATAGATAGATAGATAGATAGATAGATAGATAGATAGATAGATAGATAGACAGATAGATAAGATTAGATTAGATTAGATTAGATTAGATAGATAGATAGATAAGAGAGATAGATAAGATAGATAGATAAGATAGATAAGATAGATATATAAGATATTTAAGATAAGATAAGATTAGATTAGATTAGATAGATAGATCGATAGGTAGATAAATAGGATGGATGGATGGATGGATAGATTGATTGATTGATTGATAGAAAGATAGAAAAGATAGATAGATAAGATAGATAAGATAGATAAGATAGATAAGATAGATAAGATAGATAAGATTGATAAGATTGATAAGATAGATAAGATAGATAAGATAGATAAGAAAGATAAGAAAGATAAGAAAGATGTGAAAAATAAGAAAGAAAGAAAGAAAGAAAGAAAGATAGATAGATAGATAGATTAGATAGATTAGATAGATTTGATAGATTTGATAGATTAGATAGGTAGGTAGATAGATAGACAGACGGACAGACAGACAGACAGACAGAGAGAGAGAGAGAGATGGATACATAGATAGATAGGTGGGTAGGTAGGTAAATAATTAGTCAGAGAAAGAGACAGAAAGAGAGAGAAAGAGAGGAGACCTCAACCACCTTTCAATCCATCAGTGGCTTCGCTCTGCCATTCGTGATTCACAACAACCAACCTATCCTATAGGTTTCCTATTTCTGAAACTTCCGCCACCGCCTTGTGCGGTACTACTGGTACATCTTAATACCACTTGTTAGTTCGTATATATATATATATACAGTATATGTATTGGATATGTGGTTGTTCGAAGTTGCTTGTGCAGCATTGAAGTCTCTGACGAGAAGTTTAATGCGTCCTGCGTTCTTGCCAAAAATTCCTCGCAAGCGTTGAGATTTCTCTTTCTGTGTGCATGCGACTTAAAGATCTTAAAGTGGGTGCCGGGTGGTGTATGTGGCACTCTTTTACTTAGTAGCATGCGGTCGATAGCTGTGATTCAAAAACCACCCTACGCCTGGGACAACCTGCAACAACCTGTGACAGCATGTGGTAATGTGTGCTTCTCCTTGATTATCCCAAAATGCGTGTTAGCAATTAATAAATAGATTGTTTGCTACCAATTGCTAATGCTTGAAATGTTGTGTCTGTTCCTAGCTTCATATGATGTCCCATTCCACTGTCCAAAGATGTGTTGCCTGAATTTGCACGCAACCCCTACGGGCGTACAGTAAGCTGCCAATTACAAACCACTCTTTTCGATGCTTCTTGGGTGCTGTACCTAGTTTCTTTGGGGTTCGATGCAAGTATTCAAGGTCTAGAGTCTAGACTGCAATGGAGCTTGTACCTTCAACAACCTGTGAACTTTGATCAGATCCCATGTGGATGCTTCATTCCTCACCTTTTCAAAGTGCTTGGCAAGTTGCGGCCAGCGCTTCGCTCCTGCCAGCAGAAGCATCGGTTTTGGCGGACCCGATGATCGAAATACACCTCTGAAGTGCCTGTGCAGCGCGGATTGTTGTGCTTGTGGCATCTTGTTCTGCTAGCAGATGGAAATGGAAGCTCCCCGCGGCACTGAAGGAAAATGCAACCCTTGGAATTGCACTGGAATTGCATGACCTGGATCTATAGGCAACCTTCCTGGTATTGATTGGGATCGAAACTCCAATATCATGATCACTCATGATCACTCGTGATCAATGATGTCCAATCTCTCCTTCCCTCGCTTCAACATCTGATTTAAAATTCAAGACATCTTTCAATTCATCATATTAATCTGAGACAAATGCTACCTTTATATTTGCAAGAGGTCAATAATACACTCCAAATCCACTTTGACTCTTGGCGCTTTGAGTCCAACCGCTTGACCTCATTCCCTGACCGGACATAGGAATTGGGGCTACAATAGGGCGCCTACCCTTCGTTGATTGATTGTTACATTTGTAGCCATGCTTTCCGTTGGATCCTGCAGATTCTAGGCGTTGCATCCAATCGTCCAATTTGTTGGTGCTTGAAATCTGTACCCTGACAAGAATAAATGGCTACCAGTACACTAATGTCAAGGGCCACTAATAAATATTGAAGCGATGAAAACGTGCGATTTGATGCAATTTGTAGATAGATAAAGATGTGAGAGTAAGTTCAAGTCTTGAAAAATACCCAGAGGGAGCAATAATTAGAATTATACCACAATCATCATAGATAGGAGCCAACACTGACCGAGAAAAGAGAGCCGATCATATATTGACCGCGAGACCTGTCGCAACCAGACACCAAATCATAACCAGCCTGGCATGCCAAAGTGGTACTCACTACCACGCTCCAGGCTGGCACGTCTTGCGCTGGCTTCCGTGGAATCTCTAAGGCGAAAACGTGCAAACCCAGCCTTAGCCATCACTTGACTCAAACACAGCTCATACCGCTCATAGCGCAACATTCACCCTGTTACATCTCCCATTCATGTGTCAGCAGACCTGTCTCAAGCTCCCTTGAAGTGGCACGGAGCAGCTTGTTCATTCAATGTCTTTGTCCCTTAATTCACCGTTTGTTTCAGTTTCAATGCAGGTTGTTGAGAACATGATGTGTATACAATATTGCATAATTTAAGAGATGGGAGATGGCTGACCGCTATCCTTTAACTTCGAAGTTGTATTGTCCAAACTTGCTCTGCTGTACCCTTTCGAACGTCACCTTAGGCGGTTCTTTTTCCGCCACATTTGTTATCATGTGTTTTCATGAAAATCCCGGAGTTTCTTGGATTCTTATATATAGTTCAAATTAAAAAAACATGAGGCAGCAACATGAATGAAAAACACAGTCTCAAAACACAACAGCCAGATTCAGCCGAGCATTGTCTGCTCAAAGAAACCCAAGCGCGAGTTCTTCGGACGGCTCCCAACTACCGTCTCCATGTTGAAGTCGGGCCAAAAGCTTCAAGGCCTCTGTTCTGAAAGTTTCAAGGACGTCTATATATAGCCGTACCTCCTACTGCATTTGCTTGGCACTTGCGCCATTGTTGAGGAACCTGGGCCACACATCGTACTATCATGCACTAACTATCAATAACATACCAGCCATGTTGTTGTCTGCACCTGCGGAGGTGTGACCTCTCTCGCTCTCTCTCTCTCTCTCTTACTTTGCCAGCCAAGATGATCTATCCAGTGCAAAGAACATAATTACAGCGATTGCAAAGCATCAAAACTAGGGGAAAATCAGAGTCAAGGCCGCAAGGCCCAAGACCTCCTCCGGTTGCGGCTTTGGCAAAGGTGTTACCTCAGGCCAAACATTGAAAAAACATTCTGTTGCAAGCACTTCGCACAACCTGCATGCTCTGTCCATTTTGGTGAACTTGGATCTTGAGGCAAGGCACATCCTGCGGAGTGGCTGTTGGCTCTTTGCCGTATTCCAGGCTGTTGTGGCCCTTCTGCGCTCCTTTGGCTTTGCAGAAAGCATGTAAAGCATCTAAAGCCCCGAGGCATCAAAAGCTGCGCAATTCTCTGCTGTGTAACACCGAAGGTGGGGGGTGCCAACACAAGGCGGCTCTGCTGGTGGTAAGCGGCGTTGTTTCAGTAGTTTCTGAGTGATTTTTTGTTACCTCAACAAATTCACGAACCAATCTAGACCATCTCTCTTGGAGCTATCCATATTATTCATCAATTGATTGGTGTCCTCCTGAAGTTCATCATTGCCCTTTGATTTGCAAGTTGCAACAGTAACAGTGAAAGTTGGTTGTCTGGCACTATACAATGCCAACATTTTACAAAACGTTACAAAGCTATGAACTCTTTCTGGTTTGATCTTGAATCTTGAAAGGTCTGAGCTGTAAGGCGTCTATGCAAGCCGAGTGTCCCTTAGCCTTTGGCGGTGGCGGTTTGCAGATTTTGCCTTTGCCCTTCCCAGAACCATCTGTCGTCATGGCTTAATTATCGTACGCGGTGTGCCGTGTGGAAGTAGGGGGACTGCTGGGAAATGCTGGGGAAGCAAGGTAAGTTGCGTGAGTTTTGCATGCGTCAGGGACTGGAGCAATCCAAGGGAGAAGTCTCCACTATTGTCGTCCAGGATTCAGGGTTTGCTTGCGCTTGGTATCCATATGTATCAATTTACTCATATGAACAGCTTGAGCACAATACGCCAACGGACAATGATGAGTTCGGGCAGTTCCGGACATTCCCAACGATCTTGCCGGTTGCATTGGAGTGCCAGTGGAACATCAAAGCAGTGAAGGCAAACATATGTTGTAGTGTTTGTTGTACTTTCATTTGAAATGATTGTTCATTTTCGCTGAAACAGGAGAAACCTGATCGGGCCTGTTGGATAGCAACCGGGATTGGCGATACGTTTTGACTTGGCAATGGCCTCGGCCTGTCAGTTTCGAGGCTCGAAGTCTGAAAACAACCCGAGTGTGATTAAGTACCTAGTTTTGAATTCCTGCATCCTTGTCTAAGACCATCGTCAGCAAAACATATTATAATATTATAACATATTATGATATATAATTAGTAGGTGGAAACAACAACTAGAACGACTAGTCAAGACTGCTTGCTGCGCACTTGGCTTCAACGTGCTACAACGGTTTAAAAACAATGGCAGCTCCGGCCAATATCAGAGTTGAAGGCTGTTGGGAACTTTGCGCCCGCCTGCTCGCTACTCATTTCTGGAAAGCCATATTGCCAACCTGCAAAATCAGATAATCAATGAATGCCAATCTGCCAATGAATGTCAATGACAGCTGGTGACACTGGGGACATCTGAAGGATTCTGAAGGAAACATGCTCAACACCAGTGTGAGTGACATGGATCCGTCAACTGGCTCATCAGCTGTCCTTCAGCAACTCGATGAGCTGTGCTGGCATCCACGATAACTGTGTCAGAACCTGCAGGTTCCAGCAGGGGCACCCCAGCTGTGTCTCCCAGTGGTTAGTTTTCTGATTCTGGTACTCATTCAGCCACCCGTTGCTTTCAAGTTGACTTTCAAGTAGCATCTGCGTCAAACTCCAACATCTTTCAGCATACTAAAAGATCCGGATCATATGTCGTTCTGCTGAATGGCCAAACTTCATGGCACATCACAGATCGCCGCCTTGGGCTTTGTATAATGAAAGTTTGACATCGATAGCGCGAGTCAATCCGCAGGTTCCAGCTGCTGACAACCACAACATCTGACTGTGGTCACTATATTAACTATATTGGTTGTTCCCCACATGACTGGACTGTAATCAACCACAACTATGGAAGGATTGGAAGGCTCCTGTAGATCTTTGAAGCTGCCACTGCCGGGACTGCAGCGGTGGTTGTTCTTGCTAGCTGTGGGCTGTGGTACTTGGCGTGGTAGTGTTTCGTTTTGCCCACTTCAAGTTTACCTGCACCCTTGTAGTCACAGCTGTTTTGATTGGTTGCGTGGTTGTGGCAAAACTCACGACGGCATGGTTGCTGCTTTTGCTGATGCTGATGATGAGAGACGGTGACGGTGACGGTGGCGGTGGATGTGGCGGAAATTATGATAATGACGATGATGACGACGACGATGACGATGACGATGACGGAAATTATGATGATGATGATGATGATGATGATTATGCTGATTATGCTGATTATGAATACAATGGCGATGGCGAAGATGATGCTGATGATGATATAATAATAAAACTATTATTAATAATAATAAAATTAATAATAATAAAATTAATAATAATAAAATGAATAATAAGATTAATAATAATAATGATGATGATGATGTGATCATGATGATGATGACGATGAAAATGTTGACGCTGATGTTGATGATGTTGATGATTGTGATGTGATGATGATGATTGTGGTGTGATGATCAATGTGTGCATTCTGCAGGGTAGTTGTGCCCACTAAACCGTTTACAAACACAGCCTTATGCTACAAAATGCTGCTTGAATCTGAACCAAACCCCCTTGCTACAAAATGCTTTGGGGTTTTGATGGTGGATCAAAAGCCAATGTGGGTCACTACAAAATGCATTTGCGTAACCATTTTGTAGTGAAAATCGGGTTGCAATGAAAATTCGTGATTCTCTACTAAATGGTTTCTGGAAATTTCGCCCTAAATCTTTGGTTCACTTTCCGGGGCCCAGGTCATAGCATTTGCCGAGCACAAGTAAATACAACCTTGGGATCTCCATCGGATTCCCAGAATTAACCTTTCAAGAGGTTTTCTACCACGATGCTCAGAGCTATGGGGCAACAAAAACGATCTAAGCGCACAACTTCAAATTCAATTGGTCGGTTTTGAAACCAAATCTGTCCCATTTTTCTTTCTTAAAGTCTCTACATAAAAAGCATGGTTTGCGAACTTTTTGGGGGCTTATCTGGAGGGGGACGCAGTAGGTTCTACAAAAAGTTGTGCACGCGTGTGTCACTACAAAATGCAGTGCATGACAAAAGTCATCAAGAAACTAGGACATCACTCATCGAATCTGTGCTTTGTGGGTGAAAGAAACTCTGAACATTGATTCTTTGAACTTATAAAGGTGAAACCTGACTATTGGACTTAAGAGAATTTCTGGCAGCCAAAGTCTGGAAATTTCAGTTTTATTATTTTTGCATTTAATCATCATTTGTGTTTTCATTTTTTTCATTTCATGTTCATTATTTTTTCATCTAAAAAATGATCATCATTTTTTTTTCATTCTGGTTTGTTCGTTTGGATGCTGATGGTTTTGCTATTCGGTTGGTGGTTCTCTTCTTGTTTTGTTCTTTCTCCAGTCTTTTTCCTTCTGCTTTTTACATACTTGGGGGGAAGGGGAGGGGAGGGGAGGGGAGTCGAGGAAGAGCAAAAAAAATCCAAAAATTGGAAATTGCAATTTTCCTCGAGTTTTTTTCATTTTGTTATCATTTGTTTATCATTTTTTTATCATGTTTCATCATTTTTGCTTCCAGTGGTGCAAAAATTCTGCAAAAAATGGAAAATTGCAATTTTCCTCGAATTTTTTTCATTTTTTATCATTTTTTTTTCATGTTTCATCATTTTTGCTTCCAGTGGTGCAAAAATTTTCCCAAAAAATGGAAAATTGCAATTTTCCTCGAGTTTTTTTCATTTTTTTATCATTGTTTTATAATGTTTCATCATTTTTGCTTCCAGTGGTGCAAAAATTTTCCAAAAAATGGAAAAATTGCAATTTTCCTCGAGTTTTTTTCATTTTTTATCATTTTTTTATCATTTTTCATCATTTTTGTTTCCAGTGGAGCAAAAAATTCTGCAAAAAATGGAAAATTGCAATTTTCCTCGAGTTTTTTTCATTTTGTTATCATTTGTTTATCATTGTTTTATCATGTTTCATCATTTTTGCTTCCAGTGGTGCAAAAATTCTGCAAAAAATGGAAAATTGCAATTTTCCTCGAGTTTTCTATTTTTTTATCATGTTTCATCATTTTTGCTTCCAGTGGTGCAAAAATTCTACAAAAAGTGGAAAAATTGCAATTTTCCTCGAGTTTTTGTTCATTTTTTTATCATGTTTCATCATTTTTGCTTCCAGTGGTGCAAAAATTCTGCAAAAAATGGAAAATTGCAATTTTCCTCGAGTTTTTTTCATTTTGTTATCATTTGTTTATCATTTTTTTATCATTTTTCATCATTTTTGCTTCCAGTGGTGCAAAAATTCTGCAAAAAATGGAAAATTGCAATTTTCCTCGAGTTTTCTATTTTTTTATCATGTTTCACCATTTTTGCTTCCAGTGGTGCAAAAATTCTACAAAAAGTGGAAAATTGTAATTTTCCTCGGGTTTTTTTCATGTTTTTATCATTTTTTTACTTTTTTTATCATTTGTTTATCATTTTTCATCATTTTTGCTTCCAGTGGTGCAAAAATGTTCAAAAAAATGGAAAATTGCAATTTGCCTCGAGTTTTTCATTTTTTTATCATTTTTTTACATTTTTTTTCATTTTTTTATCATTTGTTTATCATGTTTCATCATTTTTGCTTCCAGTGGTGCAAAACTTTTCCCAAAAAACGGAAAATTGCAATTTTCCTCGAGTTTTTTTCATTTTTTGATCATTTTTCATCATTTTTGTTTCCAGTGGTGCAAAAATTTTCAAAAAAAAGGAAAATTGCAATTTCCCTCGTTTTTTTTTCATTTTTTTAATCATTTTTTTATCATTTTTTTTACAGTTTTTTACATTTTTTTATCGTTTTTTTTCATTTCCATTTTCTCTTTTCATTTTTTTATCATTTTTTTTTCATTTCCATTTTCTCTTTTCATTTTTTTATCATTTTTTTTCATTTCCATTTTCTCTTTTCATTTCTTCATCATTTTTTTCATGTTTTATCATGTTTCTCATGTCCATTTTCTCTTTTCATTTTTATCATTTTGTTCATTTCCATTTTCTCTTTTGATGCTTTATTTTTTTTAAACTTTTGTATGCTTTTTCTTTCAATTCTTTTTACTTTATGTCATAAGCCTTAGTGTTCCTTCAAGCTCATAACGAATTATGAATTGTAAAAAGTTTTATATACTACTTCCAGGTTTGCTACCTATGACTGACATAGCCTATTTTCATAGCATGGCACCATCTGACCCAAACTAATGGGACCTTGGGCAAAAAGGACTTCAGAAGGTCTCGCGCTCAAAGGCTTTCCAACAGCCCCCGCAGATGCAAAATGGAAATGAAAAAAAATGATAATGAATTTGGAGATGATAAAAAATGATAATGGTGATGTAAAATAAATGATAACCAAAATGATGATAAAATGAAAAAATAAATATGTTGACTCCCCCCAGGTTGTGGCTCACATATTCTCTTAATATTGGACAAAAAGAGCAGGAACCTAGTAGAATGGGATACGTTTAGATTATGATTGGTAATCACATGTAATCGACAAAAAAAGGTGTAACAAAAGCACAGCGCAGAGATTTTGAACTGCAATCGTCAGAGCTATGGGGCAACAAAAACGATCTAAGCGCACAACTTCAAATTCAATTTATCGGTTTTGAAACCAAATCTGTCCCATTTTTCTTTCTTAAAGTCTCTGCATAAAAAGCATGTTTTGCGAACTTTTTGGGGCTTATCTGGAGGTGGACGCAGTAGCTTCTACAAAAGGTTGTGCACGCGTGTGCCACTACAAAATGCAGTGCATGACAAAAGCCATCCAGAATCTAGGACATCACGCATCGAATCTGTGCTTTGTGGGTGAAAGGAACTCTGAACATGGATTCGTTGAACTTGGGTGAAACTTGACTATTGGACAAAAAGAGCAGGAACCTAGTAGAATGGAATACGTTTAGATTATAATGGGTAATCGCATGTAATGGCCAAAAAAGGTTTTACAAAAGCACGGCGCAGAGATTTTGAACTGCAATCGTCAGAGCTATGGGGCAACAAAAACGATCTAAGCGCACAACTTCAAATTCAATTGATCGGTTTTGAAACCAAATCTGTCCCATTTTTCCTTCTTAAAGTCTCTACATTGATTTTTTGTTTTTTTTGCTCATCTTACCACGCAATGATCGCGAGTCAAGAGCCAAAAATGGTCTGAAGGTCCAAGCCATATGTCAATGTGAGCCAGCATGACTGGCAAAAGAGGGCTATAGGGTTTCCTGTATGACCTGATGATGTTGATGATGTTGATGATGTTGATGATGTTGATGATGTTGATGATGTTGATGATGATGGTGCTGATGGTGATGCTAATGGTGTTGATGTTGATGATTGTGATGTGGTGGTATGATTGTGGTGTGATGATGATGATAGTGATGATGATGATGATGATGATGTTGATGTCGATGTTGATGATTGTGATGTGATAATCTGATTGTGGTGTGATGATGATGATGATGTTGATGATGATGGTGATGATTATGATGGTGATGATGATGGTGATAATGATGTTGATGTTGATGTTGATGTCGATGATGATGTTGGTGTTGGTGTTGATGGTTGTGATGTGATGATCTGATTGTGGTGTGATGATGATGATGATGAGGATGGTGATGATGATGTTGATGATGATGATGATGTTGATGGTGTTGATGCTGATGCTGATGTTGGTGATGATGATGTTGATGAAAATGCTGGTGTTGATCTTGATGATGATTCTGATGCTGATGTTGATGATTGTGTTGATGCCGATGATGGTGCTGATGTTGATGTTGATGATGGTGTTGATGATGATGCTGATGTTGATGATGATGTTGTTGATAATGATGATGTTGATGATCGTGGTGTGATGATATGATGATGATGATAATGATGATGATGATAATGATGATGATGATGATGTTGGTGACGATGCTGATGTTGCTGTTGGTGATGATGATGATGTTGATGATGATGATGCTGATGCTGATGTTGTTGATGATGTTGATGTTGATGTTGATGTTGATGATTGTGATGTGATGATCTGATTGTGGTGTGATGATGACAATGATGATGGTGATGATGGTGTTGATGTTGATGATTGTGATGTGATGATCTGATGGTGGTGTGATGATGATGATAATAAACATGATGATGGTGATGATGATGCTGATGATGATGCTGATGTTGATGTTGATGATGATGTTGATGCTGATGTCGATGATGATGTTGGTGCTGGTGATGATGCTGGTGTTGATGTTGATGATGATGTTGATGCTGATGTTGATGATGATGATGTTGATGATTGTGATGTGATGTGATGTGATGTGATGTGATGATATGCTGATGATGATGATGGTGATGATGATGATGGTGATGATGATGATGATGAGATGTTGATGATGATGTCGATGCTGATGTTGATGATGATGATATGATTGTGATGATTGTGATGATGATGATGATGATGATGTTGATGATGTTGATGCTGATGCTGATGTTGATGATGATGATGATGATGTTGATGATGATAATGCTGGTGTTGATCTTGATGATGATGCTGATGCTGATGTTGATGATTATGTTGATGCCGATGATGATGCTGATGTTCATGTTGATGATGATGATGATGCTGATGTTGATGATGATGTTGATGTTGATGATGGTGTTGGTGACAATGATGATGTTGATGATCGTGGTGTGATGCTATGATGATGATGATGATAATGATGATGATGATGTTGGTGACGATGCTGATGTTGATGTTGGTGATGATGGTGATGTTGATGATGATGATGATGATGATGCTGATGTTGATCTTGATGATGATGATGATGTTGATGTTGATGTTGATGATTGTGATGTGATGATCTGATTGTGGTGTGATGATGATGATGATGATGTTGATGATGATGATGTTGATGATGGTGGTGTTGATGTTGATGATTGTGATGTGATGATCTGATTGTGGTGTGATGATGATGATGATGATGATGTTGATGTTGATGATGGTGTTGATGTTGATGATTGTGATGTGGTGATCTGATTGTGGTGTGATGGTGATGATGATAATGATGATGATGGTGATGGTGATGATGATGCTGATGATGATGCTGATGTTGATGTTGATGATGATGCTGATGCTGATGATGATGTTGATGCTGATTATGATGCTGATGTTGATGTTGATGATGATGTTGATGCTGATGTTGATGATGATGATGATGATGATGATGATGATGATGATTTGATGATGATGATGATGATGATGAAGATGGTGATGATTGTGATGTGATGTGATGTGATGTGATGTGATTTTATGTGATGTGATGTGATGATATGATGATGATGATGATGATGATAATGATGGTGATGATGATGATGGTGATGATGATGTTGATCATGATGATGAGATGTTGATGATGATGTTGATGCTGATGTTGATGATGATGTTGATGCTGGTTATGATGCTGATGTTGATGCTGATGATGATGATGATGATGATGGTGATGATCTTCTTCTTCCTCTTGTTGTCGCAGCGGCGGTGGAAACAACGTTGTGGCTCAAGTGGTAAGAGATCCACCCCTTGAACATAGAGTCTTGAGATTTCCTAAGTGGGTATTCGGAAAGGTCCTTCTGCGAGTGCCACAGCCGCGACAGCTGCATCATCTGGGAGGCACAGAACCTTGCAATCTTAAATCACGCAGCCAGAGACAGCAACTAGCAGATGGAAAGTTAGTTGGCAAAGGAAAGATACCCTTACAAGGGTCAAATGAAGCAAGCGATATGAGACCAAAATCATGTTGTGCTCACTCGGTCACCAGGATAGAAGTGGCCAGGCATCATACGACAGTATAACATGGTGCTATGAAGAAACAGCGGCATCCGCAGTTTGCAGTGCTTCACGCCGGGCATCCTCGTCCTGCGCCATGAGATGTCATAAATATCGACAGGCACATTTTAGAATCAATAGACATCCACGACTTTTCTTGACGTTCTCCTGGCTCTGCACATCAAGTCATGCTTTCAGTAATAGATATTATGCAGATACTTCATGATACTTCGTGAGAGTTCATGTCCTTCATGATATTCCATAATTTGTCATTATATTTCATTGTGCTTCGTGATACTTCCATATATTTCATGACACTTCATGATACTTGATTATACTTCGTGATATGTCATGACACTTCATTATACTTCATGATACAGTATTGCATGGTACTTCGTGATACTTCAATCCGAATGGGGCTCGTAGTAATTGGCACTTTGCAATCCAGATGCGAGAACAAAAAGCAAGCAAGATGAAGAGACAGCCGATGTTGCTGTCTCTTGCTTGCAGCACGTCTCTTTTGCCTTCTGTTTGCAAGAGTAGTTGATTTAGGAGCCTGATTGTGATGATACTGTGAGTGTCCCTACATACATATATATATATGGTGTATATATATATATATACTTATACTGAATGGAAAAACTAGGGAATTGTAAATGAATCATATATACCTGCATCTCCCAGCCATCCTCCCTAATTGGGGTATTCCGCTCACAATCCTCCTTGTACATTCATTATGTCATTATACATTGACTTCTTCTCTTCTCATTTATTAACTTCTCCTTTGGCTGGAGTACCTTTGCGGACACCAAACACACCTTACAGCATACAACGAAGATGAACAAACATATGTGACATACTACATAGATAAGTCTTAGATACGTGTAATCCATTATAATCTATCAGTTTAGTCTCCTTGCGCTTGTCAGAATCCAGACTCATGATCTTGATCTCTGGATGTTTCTCTAAGCGCTCTCGAACCTGTCAGAGCGGGGGCGTTTGTTCCATCAGGTCAGATCAGGTGCAGAGATATGCGTTTCGGACGAGTCCATGATCGCACGAAGACCTGAAGGAAGCGCTTCTTTATACTTCTCTTGCAGTTACCAGGTTAAAGAAGGTCAAAATGGTCAGAGCAGTTTCCTCGGAGATTTGAAGCATATTTCCTCCAAACTCCAAGACCAAGGCTCGCCAGAGTCTGACAGGTGCAGATTCTGACGAGAAAATCTGTAAAAGATAGGACTTAAAACTGCCCCGATACGATGAACTCCTACTAATCATGCCTTCAGAGGCTAAGGTGCAGGCAGAAAAGAAAGAGTCACGCAATGTCACGCAAATACTTGAATCTTTCTCATGTCAGGACTCAGGACATGATATATCAGATATATCATGATAAAGAAACGACTTGGACTGCCAGTGCACCTTGCTGGCTGCCTGCACGGACAAGCCTGGTGCCTAGTAGCCAGGTTGTGCCGTTCTAGTCACTAATTTGAGCGGAGCAAGAAACTCAGATCGATAAAGGATCCGCGTTTGCTCTGCTGTGGGCTGTGCAACCATGAAGTGGGAAAACATCGTATGCGCAAAAAAGCTGGGCTTCAGACTTTCAGGGTGGCGTCAAGAAAAAACAGCTGCGAGTCCTGGTCAATGTTTGAACATTGCCTGGCTCACTTCTTGACAAAGATGCCGTCAACTCGTTGTGGAGTGGCTGGAGGATGATATTCTGCCTTCCTGGTGGGATATGGTGGAATTGGAATTGATGGGTGCGTCCAGGCTGCAACAAAAACACGTTCGCTACAAAATGCGTAAATATCATTAGATTCAACAAGTTCATTTGAGGCATTGTGCTTCCAGGAAAATTCAACAGCTCCACTTTTGTTCAGTGTTCAAACTCAATGCTCCTTGAGTACCAATTGAAGGCCTCCACTACTTTTTGCTCAAACATGCCAGCATGGTATTTCACTTGCAATGTTCCAGTTTCTTCAGCACGAATGTGTTGAGTCAACAAGCGCAAATCGTCATCAGCATTGGCGGTGGCAGTGCTGTTGCACCTCCCACAGGACATATGGACTGGATCTTGGAGGCCGATCAAATGAGCTACGAATGGCTATGTATCGTATCAGCATGTGCATATATATATATATATACATACATTATTAAATATCATATATATTATTTAATATTATCAAAGGAAGTTGGGAAGCAATACTTCCGTGTTACGGACAAATAGAATTCTGAGACTTGAAATGATGAAGGGCGGTACGTCATCTAACAATACATAACAAAAGAATAAGAAGCTATGCAGTTGACCTTGATGAAGGGTGGTAGATCACATAAATCACATAACAATACATAACATAACAATACATAACAAAAGAATAAGAAGCTATGCAGTTGACCTTGATGAAGGGTGGTAGATCACATAACAATACATAACATAACAATACACAACAAAAGAATAAGAATCTATGGAATTGACCTTGATGAAGGGTTGTACATCACATAGAATAAGAAGCTATGACACAGGGTGGTGACGAAGGGAGGTGGTGACGATGGGAAGTGGTGACGATGGGAAGTGGTGACGATGGGAAGTGGTGATGATGGGACGTGGTGAGGAAGGGCAGTGGTGACGATGGGAAGTGGTGACGATAGGAAGTGGTGACGATGGGAAGTGGTGAGGAAGGGAAGTGGTGACGAAGGGAAGTGGTGACGATGGGAAGTGGTGATGATGGGACGTGGTGAGGAAGGGCAGTGGTGACGATGGGAAGTGGTGACGATAGGAAGTGGTGCGGTGACGATGGAAAGTGGTGACGATGGGAAGTGGTGAGGAACGGAAGTGGTGACGTAGTTCTTGAAGCTGTGTGCGTAGTTCTATGCGTTTTTTGAAGCTGTGGTTGCAGATCGCATTGGAATGGCTGCATGAATGTTGCATGGGCTATGTTTTGGGGAGGAAGCCGGAGTACGAAACCTTGTGTTTTTCCGTGTAAAATGGCTGCAGCCGGCGATGAAAGGTACCTCGTCTGTGCGGCGGTTGCGGCTGGGGTCGTTTCTGTCGCGAATGGTTCCTTCTATGTGTTTTGCAACGAGTGGTTGTGTCTGCGTGCGTAGTTCTATGTGGTTCTTGAATGGCTGGTTGCAGATTGCATTGGAATGGCTGCCTCATTGTCGTCATTTGATGTTGCCACGTGCGTAGATAGGTGCAGGTTTGCTACGGGATGCTGCGAAACGCATTGTAATGGCTGCATGAATGTTGCATGGGCTATGTTTCGGGGAGGAAGCCGGAGCACGAAACCTTGTGTTTTTCCGTGTAAAATGGCTGCAGCCGGCGAATGAAAGGTACCTCGTCTGTGCGGCGGTTGCGGCTGGGGTCGTTTCTGTCGCGAATTGTTCCTCCTATGTGTTTTGCAACGAGTGGTTGTTCTTGTGTGCGTAGTTCTATGCGCTTCTTGAAGCTGTGGTTGCAGATTTTATTGGAATGGCTGCTTCATTGTCGTCATTTGATGTTGCCACGTGCGTAGATAGGTGCAGGTTTGCTACGGGATGCTGCGAAACGCATTGTAATGGCTGCATGAATGTTGCATGGGCTATGTTTCGGGGAGGAAGCCGGAGCACGAAACCTTGTGTTTTTCCGTGTAAAATGGCTGCAGCCGGCGAATGAAAGGTACCTCGTCTGTGCGGCGGTTGCGGCTGGGGTCGTTTCTGTCGCGAATTGTTCCTCCTATGTGTTTTGCAACGAGTGGTTGTTCCTGTGTGCGTAGTTCTATGCGTTTCTTGAAGCTGTGGTGGCAGATCGCATTGGAATGGCTGCATGATTGTCGTCATTTGGTGTTGCCACGTCCGTAGATAGGTGCAGGTTTGCTACGGGATGCTGCGAAACGCATTGTAATGGGGCTGCATCCAGGCTGCGATAGTGATTTGTCAGCAGATTTTCGCAATTTTGGCGCTAGTATCCCTGTTGGAATTCGGACCAAACCTGGGTGTCTGATTCTATAGGGACTAAAACGAAAACCCAGGACTAAGGGGGGGCGATTTTCCCTATAGAATAGAAACCCTACCAAGCCAACACCCCCCTGCTGCTCCTATAAAATGAAAACCCAGCCTCATACTGGCCACCGCTTCTCATAATCCACTATAAAATGAAAAACTGAGTCCAAGTGATTAGGAAAAAGACACCCTATAGAATAGAAAACTGGGTTTGCAATGCCTTAAGTTTGGTTTCACTTTTTGGATCTGGGCTGGCACCATTCCACAAAAGAACATACTTGGGGACTATTCTATAGAGGGGGGGTTTGGTTTCCATTTTATAGCAGCTGATCCAAAATGGGCCTTGGAAATACAGCTTCCTATCCAGTAAGGAATCCAGTAGGTGGTCTTTTTCCTGATCAATGGGACTCAGTGTTTAAGTGTTTGGTGGGTAATCTGTTTGAGGTGGTGGTCAGTGTCAGGCCGGGTTTTCGTTTTATAGGAGTGGCAGGGGGACTTGTCAGTGGGCCATGATAATGCAAATTAAATTGCTGTAATGTATGTAACAGAAAAAGTAATCAACACTGTTAACGAATCAGCGTTTAGCAGGGCTGCTCCTATAAAATGGAAACTCAACACCACTCCCAAAAAATGGTTCCCAAGGATGTTCATATCCGAAAACTTTGGGCTTTGGAAATGCAGCTTCCTATCCAGTAGGGGGATGTAGCGGGTCTTTTTCCTGATCAATGGGACTCAGTGTTTAATTGTTTGGTGGGTAATCTGTTTGAAGTGGTGGTCAGTGTCAGGCCGGGTTTTCATTTTATAGGAGTGGCAGGGGGACGTGTCAGTGGGCAATGATAGTGCAAATTACATGCTGCAACAGTAACAGAAAAAGTAATCAACACTGTCAACGAATCAGCTTTTAGCAGGGCTGCTCCTATAAAATGGACACCCAACACCACTCCCAAAAAATGGTTCCCAAGGATGTTCAGATCCAAAATTTTGGGCTTTGGAAATGCAGTTTCCTATCCAGTAGGGGGTCTTTTTCCTGATCAATGGGACTCAGTGTTTAATTGTTTGGTGGGTAATCTGTTTGAAGTGGTGGTCAGTGCCAGGCCAAGTTTTCATTTTATAGGAGTGGCAGGGGAACTTGTCAGTGGGCAATGATAGTGCAAATAAAATGCTGTAACAGAAAAAGTAATCAACACTGTTAGCGAGTCCCCTATAAACTGACTGGGTAACAGTGTTGATTAATTATTCGTTTACAGTATGTTTCAATATGTTACAGTATCATACAGTATTTACAATATTATTGCCCACTGACACCTCCCCTCCCACTCCTATAAAATGAAAACCCAGCCTCATACTGGCCACCGCTTCTAACAAATAACCCACTATAGAATGAAGAACTTGGTCCCAGTGATTAGGAAACAGACCCCCTATAGAATAGAAACCGCTATTTCCAAGGCCCAAAATGTGGTTCACATTTGGGCTGGCATCTTTCAAGCAAAAAAAAACGTGGGGCCCATTTTTTGAAGAGTGTCTGGATTTCCATTTTATGATAAAACACTGAGTCCCAGTGATCAAGAAAAAAACATACTAAATAGGAAATGTTTTTTTCCAAGGCCCAAAGTTTGGTTTCACATTTGGATCTGGGCTGGCACGTTTCAAGCAAACAAATCCTTGGGAACAATTTTTTAGAAGAGTGGTTGGATTTCCATTTTAAATATATTTTTAAAGGAGCAGCCCTGCGCAAAACTGACTGGGTAACAGTGTTGATTAATTATTCGTTTACAGTATGTTTCAATATGTTACAGTATCATACAGTATTTACAATATTATTGCCCACTGACACCTCCCCTCCCACTCCTATAAAATGAAAACCCAGCCTCATACTAAGGATTATCGTGTAAACGATTTGGGCTACGGATGGGTATATGGAAAAAGACTATATATGATCAGAAATAGGTGTAACATATACATGGAAAAATGCATCATTTTTTGTCATGTTTTCTGATAACTGC